CAGTGGGAAAAGGGGATCGTAGGGAAAGGGAAACTTTAGCTAAAAAACTGATGGTAAAAATTATAAAGGGTTAAATTTTAACCCATGCCTCCAAAAGTTTTTTTCACTATAAAAAATTAAACCCCACCCAAAAACCCCTTGAAAAGGGGAAGGGGTTTTGTTTTTCTCTTTTTCTATTTTGCAGGCCCAGGGGGAACCCGTTCCTGTTGGCCCTTTTGTTTTTTGTGCCCTGTAAAATATTACACAAAGGGGGAGTTGAAAATAAAAAGGGGTTTTCTTTTATTTTGGCCCGGGGTGAACGGGGTTTTAAAAATTTTAAAAATTTTTTTAAATGGTTTTTTTCCCTTTTTTTAAAAAAAGGTTGAATTTTGTTTAAAAGTCCTTTTCACTCAAATTTCCTTCTGGGCAAACAAACAACTGGTTTTTTTAAATGGCAGAAAAAGCGGGCAAAAAACCAGTGTCTAATGTTTGGGTCTTGTGTGTAGGGGGAAGCTAGCCCGTTTTTACGTGGGGTTTCCGGCCACCAATAACTCCTAATTTGGTCTTCTAAAATATAATAAATTTTTATACAGCCCCCAACTGATAAATTGCCCTATTGGATAAAAAATTACCCCCTGACCACACTGAAAAAAAAAGAAACAAATTTTTTTTTGAAAAAAAGAAAACCCTGTGGGAAAATTTTTTCCGGGGTTTTGGGGGGTTTAAACGGGCCCGGATGGGCCCAAAACTAGGCACTTTTAAATGAAACACAATGTGCAAGTATTTTTTACGGGTATCCCCCTTTTTTTTAAAAAACCTAAAATTTTCCAGCACGACATCGGGGTGGTGGTGTGGGGGAAGGAAAAAATTTGTTTGAAAAATTTTCCATTTTAAAAAAACCACGGGTTTTGTGTTTGCTTCTACTTTTGGTTTTTTTTTAAAACCCTTGTTTCGGGTTACATCCCCTCAAAACGGAGGGAATTTTTATTGCCCAACTGCAAACGAAATTTTTAAACCTAAAACCAGAGTTTAGGGAAAAGGGAGGGGGGGGCATTAAAAAATGCAGGGGAAGGGGGAGATGATCCCTACTTATACTGATAGAAATTTGGGTGTACCAGGGGTTTGGTTCCTGTTAAATTTAAAACCTACCCAATCGGGTTCTCCCAGGATTTGAATCTTTTTTATGCTGGGGGGTTTTTTTTACTTTTAAATAAAAATGTAGACAAAAAATTTCAACTAAAAACCCTTTTTTAAAAACGTCCAGGGGCTGGGAAAAAAAAAAAACAGAATAAGCTTCTCCCCCGCCATGAAAAATTGTCAGCTACCTCCCCGAGGTTTTCCCCAGCCCCCCGTATTGCTTTTGGGACATGTTTTTTGGGTGAAAAAGGGGTGTGTGGTTTTTCTTTTTTGGGAAAGATCGGGGTTTTTTTCCCCCTTTTATTCCCCCAAAAACCCCAAACCCCGGGCAGAGGGGCCCCTCCCCAAAGGGCCCCCCTTAAAGGGCCTTCGTTTCCCCTTAAAACGGGCAAAATAAAAGGGACCCTTCGGGAAATTTTGACCAAAAAAATGTGGGGATGGATTTGGGGGGGACTTTTTTTGGTAAATACAAACAATTGGTGCTTTCTTTTTTTAATTTTATGGGCTGTATTTGCCCCCCCATCTTGCCCTTATTGGTTGTTTTTTTGTATTCCATGTTTTTGGAGCATTTTGTTTAATAACAAAATTGCCACAGAAAATTTCAACCCATAAAAGCAAAAAATGTATGCCCTTTGCCCCGGGAAAATTACCTTCTGATGATTGAAGAAGGGAGGGGGGGGAGGGGGAAACTTTGGATTTTTTGTTTTTCAATTGGCATTTTTAAAAAAAGAATGGGGAACCAAGGTTTAAAAGGGGAAACCTTTCGGGGGGGAGTTTTTTGGGGGTTTTTTTGATTTCAATTTTTTAAACCCCCTGAAAAGGGGCCCCCTGAATGTAAAATAAATAGCTTAAAGTGAATAAACAGGGGGGAAAATGTTGGATTAAATTGTACAAGTTTTTTATTTTTAAATTCATTTTAATTTTTTTTAATCATTTATTATGCTTACACACAACCCATATTTTTGCTAACACATTTTGTTATCCTTATACTTCATTTTTAAACCACTTTTGCATTTTCCCGGGAAAATTTGTATTCACAAAGTGTTGAAATGTTTCCCTTGCGGGTCTTTCAAAAGGGTTGTTATTAGGGGTTTTGCAGTTTCCCATGCGGGGTTTTGCTAAAGGTTGCGGGAAAAAAAGGGGGGGGGGGGGGGGGGTTGGGGGGAAAAAACAGGGGGGTAAATGCACTCCCTAAAAACCGGGAGAAAGGAGGGGGGGGAAAAAGCCCTTATCTCATGATTTGTTTTTTAAACTTCGGGGTTCCCCTTAGTTTTGGGGGGTTTTTCACCCCTTTTTCGGGTTTTCCCCGGACGGGGTTTAAACCCTTTTTCCCCCCCCCCCTTTTACCCAGTGGGAAACCCAAACATTGTCGCCGGGGGCTTTTCCCTTTAAATTTAAAAACCCCTTGGTTTAGAAGGGCGGAGATTTTTTTTTTTCAGAGGGGTTTGGAGAATTGTAAACGGGCCATCTTACCCACTCTCCTTGCAAGGGGAATCATACTAAAATTCTCTGTTTTTTTTTTCTTTGTAAAAGGTTATTTTGCTTTAAAATGTTTTTGGTTTTTTTTAAAACCCTAACAGTGCCCTGAATCAACAGCTGCTCTTTTTCAACTATTTTCTACAAACTTGTTAAAGCAGAAGCAGATTATACTACAATGAACAGAGACTCTTTAAAGCACAGCTCACCATCTGTCCTCATACTCTTTGTAAAACTAGAGGGTTAGAGAGCAGAAACACAGCAGGAATACTTTCATTTCTCCAATTGTTTGATGGGAGTGAAAAACAAAACAAAACAGTTCATGAAGCAAATAGTGATAAGATGTGGGAAATCACAGACAAAGATATGAATTCATTTCTTACTTTAGGGTAGAAGTCTGGAAACTTCTTTTCTATAAACATTTATCTCCATACAGAAATGGATTTTTTTTTATTACTTGCTTGAGAATAGAAACCCTCATTTTTTAAGTCACACACTTACATATAGGGATGCACGATATAATCACCCCCCTATCGGTATCGGCCTTAAAACTGAATATCGGACATCGGCCACCCCACCGATATTTAACCCGATATTTGATCAGCTTCTGAGTTTCTAAAGTCTAAAAAAACAATAAAAAATACTTCTTCTTCTTCCTCAAAAACGTCTTTTTTACAGACTTAAAAACTTCTAAAGACGAGGGAAAAAATATTGATCCATTAAAATATCCCAATATCTTCATATGCTGATATATTGCCATTTAAAAACACCATATCAATCTCTTTTAATAATGAAATATTGCTATATGTCATCGTTATGCTACGAAATCCCCCGAAAATTCACCAAATGTTGCCATATTTTTATATGTTGATATATTGACGCGGTATCGATCTATTTTACTAACAAAATCTCACAAGAATTTGTAAAATATCACGAGAGTTTGTAACAGAACGATGAAATTTCACCAGATTTTGAAAGTAAAATAGATCGATACCGCGTTTTTAAAAATCTATTTGATATCAGCATATGAAAATTATTTGAGTATATTATTTTTCAAAGTGTCAGAAATGGATAACAAAACTGCTATTTTCAATGACTACTTATTTTTGTCCAGCTTTAACATCGGTATCGATATCGGTTATCGGCTACATGAGTTTTAAAATATCGGCATATCGGATATCGGCCAAAATCCCAATATCGTGCATCCCTACTTACATACACACGATTCTAACCAATGGCATCAATTCCTTCATCCTCCAGGAACTGCATACTCTCGCCACATGAGGCCGGGCATTGTCGTGCACCAAGAGGAACCCAGGACTCACTGCACCAGCATAGGGTCTGACAATGGGTGCAAGGATTTCATCCCGATCCCTAATGGCAGTCAGGGTGGTGTTGTCTAGCCTGTATAGGTCTATGCGTCCATCCATGGATATGCCTCCCCAGACCATCACTGACCCCCCACCAAACCGCTCATGCTGAACGATGTTACAGGCAGCAGAACGTTCTCCACGGCTTCTCCAGACCCTTTCACGTCTGTCACATGTGCTCAGGGTCAACCTGCTCTCATCTCTGAAAAGCACAGGGCGCCAGTGGCCGACTTGCCAATTCTGGTGTTCCGTGGCAAATGCCAATGGAGCTCCATGGTGCCGGACAGTGAGCACAGGGCCCACTAGAGGCGTCTGGCCCTCAGGCCATCCTCGTGGAGACTGTTCCTGATTGTTTGGTCAGAGACATTCACACCAGTGGCCTGCTGGAGGTCATTTTGTAGGGCTCTGGCAGTGCTCCTCCTGCTCCTCCTTGCACAAAGGAGCAGATAGCGGTCCTGCTGATGGGTTGTAGACCTTCTACGGCCCTGTCCAGCTCTCCTGGAGGAACTGCCTGTCTCCTGGAATCTCCTCCATGCTCTTGAGTTTGTGCTGGGAGACGCAGCAATTCTTCTGGCAATGGCACGTATTGATGCGCCATCCTGGAGGACTTGGACTGCCTGTGCAACCTCTGTAGGGTACAAGTAGCGCCTCATGCTAACAGTAGTGACAGTGACCCTAGCCAAATGCTAAACTGGTGAAAAAGAGTCAGAAAAGATGAGGAGGGGAAAAAATATCAGTGGCCTCCACCTGTAAAACCATTCCTGTTTGGATGGTCGTCTGGTTGTTGCCACTCTAGTTCACCTGTTGGTAATTTCATTAACACCAAAGCAGCTGAAGCTGATAAACAACCCCCCCCCCCCCCCCCCCCCCCCCCCCTGCTACTGACCTGACCAAATCAATATCCCACAAGTTTAATTAACTTGATGCTTTACTCTGATTACAAAGTGTTCCTTTCATTTTTTTTTTGAGTAGTGTATATATAAATATATATATGTACACATACATATCTACTGATATGAAGGACCACGCCTCTCTTACCGTATCGGCTGTTGAACAGGATTTGAACGCACTCTCTCAGCGTATTGATGTCTTCAGTCTCCCGTATAAAGGAGTCCCATTTTTCTGCAGGACAAGATAATCATAAAATGCAACATGGTGGTTATCTGATGGTTAGCTCACATTAACCCTTCTAAAGGGGTTTATCACCTCAGAGTGTCACAGAAATATCTGGAATTCCTTTTTTTTTTCTCCCTTAGAGTCAACTTGAAAAACCTGAGCAATCTACTTAAAGGATTACTGCTGACTGATTAGTAACTGAACGCAGGCTGGCGATGGTTAACTTAGCCATACATGCTAACTGTAATTGTGAGTCTCATTCCTCAAAAAAACAGACCTTAAAATTAAATATATGTCATAAAGCAGAAATCCATTTGGAAACGTGTGGGATGAGTGATTGGTGAGGCAAAGCAATTGCTGATTTATTAAGACCGACCTGATTTTTCATGCACGATAGAGAAGAGCAGTCGTTTAGAGATGTGGACGCCAGGCGGACTCTGACCCTGATCAGCAGGAAGTCTTGTTAGATCATCTGAAAGTAGAAGAGCAACATCTTCATCATTCCAGCCCTCATTTCCTTCATCAACTTCATTAGAGCTCTAAAAGTTAAACTCTCTAACGGAGTTAAAGCGGATTTATTGGTTGTTGAACGTAGATTTTAAACATTTTTGTGCTAAAAGTCAAGAAAACCCAACTAAAAAAGCAAAATGTTTTAATCAGATACACTGACCTAGCCATCAGTTCATAACCACCCTCCATACTGCTCAGTTTAAAGCAGAAACTAACCCGTGCTGGCTCCGTCCTTCCCAGAGGAACCCCTGTCCGTCCAGCTGGCCAGCCTGTCCTTGCCCAGACTGAGGAGGGTTGCAGGTTTGAAGTCTAGCTTGCTGTCAGGGTGGGGCTTGGAGGACATGGGCATCCCATACAAGAAGTTTGACAGAACCGAGTTGCTGGAGGTGGCTGGGTTTGGTGAGGTAACAGCCTGGCAGGTCGTCTTTCCAGCAATATGGCTGCTCTGTGTTCCCACGGCGACGGAGGGGTTGCTACTCACCTCGGCGCTTGGCTTGGCTTCTCTGGACAAATCTTCAGCTTGCCTTTGGAAAAGAAAACAAAAATCCAAACCAGTAATTTCAGAGGGTTTAAAGCTGGATGAAGATCTGAAACAATGTAAGCATCTGTAGAAAGTGTGAAAGCTGCTCTGTTCAGGTGAGAGCAAAGCTAATATTTAAACCAACGTCTTTGGTGGAAAACAATCCGGTGTGTCAGAGTGGCCTAGTTAAAGTCCAGACCTAATTAAAGATGTAAAAACACTTTGATGCTCCACCTTCCAAACGGATGAAGCTGGAACTATTAGAAGTGAAATGAAAGAGGAAAGTGTTACCACACTGCAAAAACAATCCAGAAATAAGTAAAAAATGGCTTAAATTAAGTATATTTAGCCTTAATTTGAGCAGGTAAATAAGATGATTTGCCAATGGAATGAGTATTTTCACTCTTAAAATAAGATAGTTAGATAATATTTACTTGAAATAAGACGATAAAATAGTTTTTTCTTATTTTAAAAGGAAATTGTCTTGTTCCATTGGCAAAGTGTCTTACTTATCTCCTCAAATCAAGGAAAAACACACTTATTTTAAGAAAAAATAACTTATTGAGATTTATATTTTTTGCAGTGCACATTTGTTTAAGAATTTTATATATACCGTAAATTCTCCAATATTGGCCTGTATTCCAATAGCGGCCGGGACTCTAACATTGGCCGGTCTCGCTGTCAGAGGAGGTAAATAATGGCCGGTCTCTAATACAGGCCGGGGCTATAAACGTTTTTTCTGTGCATACCTCAACATTATACTTGTGGTAGTAAGTAACATACAAGTACCACAGCCATGGGCGTAGGTTTGCATAGGGACCATAGGGACATGTCCCTACCAAAATTTTGAACCGACCTAATTGTCCCGACCAATAATTGGATGTGAGCAACATGTTTATAATTTACAGCAGTAGTTGTTGCAGCAGTGGCTTCTTTTCCTCTCGCAGCTCCTCTGCCTGCTCTCTCCTGTCCCTTTCATGTAGCAGCGCGTGGAACTGTGCTGCGCTGTTTAACTCAACTCTCATTGGTTGTTCTGCCTTAGGTTCCGCCTTCTCTCTCTCTGATTGGCTGTTTTCTTGTCTGCGTGTGCTTGGAGCACAAAATTGAAAATTGATTCACACTAGAATGCTGCGGTTACAACAATTAATATTAGGCTACAAAACTAGTCCCAATTAAAAAAAAATGAATATCATGTACACTAAAAAACAAAAACCTTTTTTTTCTTTTATAAAGCGAAATATTCTGAGTCAGCCAGGAGTTCTGAAGACACAAAATGGGCAAATAAAGGCAGTAAGCCATCAACATTTCTAATTCTTATCCACAGCCAACTAAAAAAGAAAAAGTGAGTGTTTCCTTTTTACCAATATTTAGTTGCTATTACTGGTTTAATTTTTTATGACTCTTTGAGAAAGCTCAGGTATAATTATTAGCAGGTGTAATTTCTCTTATAGAGTACAACAACAAGAAATGGTGCCTAAACATCTGCTGTTTTTCGTTTAAAAAGCATAATTAGGGTTCCACATAATAATAGTTCTATTTTATTGACTATTTATACTTCTAGAAATAGGATAAAGACAAGAACAAACAAAGGAAGAATATAAACATTGATTTTATCTTACATAGATTTCCACACAGTCTATAAGTAAATTAGTACAAACATTAATGTCTGGTAAAAATGCTGGAATCTGGCTGTTTATTTTGGATAATGTTAAATTACAGATAAGATAGTGTTATATTGTCTTTTATAATTGTTAAAAATTATTTTATATTTGAATACACTTAGGCTCATTCTTAGCGTTGTGTTTGTAGACGATGCCACTAAAAAAGAAAATAGACATACAGTAAGGAGCTATTTAACCAGTCAGACAGTAAGCAATATAGGACAATGATAAAAGGTTGTGTTTCATTTAATGCTTTACTATTAAAAATGCACTTATACATTATATGATTATAGGAAACACAGATATCCAGTAATAATGATGCAGGGCAGCTTGTACAGTAGGTGAAGCAGCTGCCCTTCAGTGCTTTAGGTGATGTCTAAATAAACCAGGTGAAACTAAAATATTTCCACATGGATGGAGAATATTGACAGACAAAACATTTTTATTTAATCTTATATATTACAATTTTGGTATAATTACTGATCTAAGTGGATTGCTCTATAGGGGAAAGGGACATTTATTTTACATTTATATTATGTTTAATATTCTCCATTCTCCAGTTAATGATTAATCACATACTAAATTAGTTGACGATTATTGAAATAATCAATTAATACGATTAATTTTTTCAGCCCTGGATAAAATAGATGAAATGGGCTATACAGAGTAACTACAGCCCAGATGTTCAACTTTTATAGTGAAGTTAATATTTTAATGAATGTATTATTTTGCTTGATACAGAGAGAGCATAGTAGGTACAAATATAAGAGTGGGGTTTAACTCTGCACTATTCTATATCTTCAAAAGAATGTACTGTATTTACCTTCTCTATTAGTCATGCAAATTAAACCATTTTCAAAGTGGAAAACAGTCCTAATTCCACATTCATCAGAGCCTGTGATACTTCAAACATTGATAAACAGCATCTAATGAGTGTAGTGCTTATAAAATTTTTATTAATGTAGCAAAATGATGCTTTTCTCTTTTAACAATGAATTCGTCTTATCAGCACGGATGCTCACATCGAGCATAAAAAAGGGCACGCATACTGCAGCACCAATGACACCAGACCAATAGTGTCCCTACCAAAGTTCAAATCAAACCTACGCCCTTGACCACAGCCCTGCGCAGCTGGACGACAGGCCCTGACTGCTGCCCGTCTGCGCGAGGAAGAGAACAGACACGCAGCAGAACAGGAGGAGCGCGAGTGATGAGGAGATTAAAGGGAGAGATGAAGAGGAGGAGAAAAACCGAGGAGGAGAATTAAACAGAATTGGAGGATTTTTTTTTTTTTTTTTTACTTCAAACCAAGCGAGACATGGTAACTGTACTTTTTCAATAAATGACCCTAGTGTTTTATAGGTTCAAATGGACACAAAATCTCATTTTTATTCATTCCACTGGTAGTCTGTTTTGCTCAAATAGCAATAGAGGCCTGTCTCTAATACTGGCCTCTATCCAATAAAGGCCTGGACCGCGATGCACTTGAGTGAAATAAAGGCCCGGGCCTATATTAGAGAATTTACGCTAATTTAAATGTATAATTTTAATGCCTCGGTTCGGTTCGCGTGTGTTGCGTTCGGTTCATGCGCTGCTCCTTTTTCTCATAGGTGAAGCGTTTACACTCCAGAGCAGAAGGTGGCGGTACTGCGACCAAAGCCAACCACCAGTAGTAAACAAGAAGAAGAAGAAGAAGCGAAGCAGCGTAGCCGGGTGTAGCAGAAAGAAATCAGTTGTTGTGGAGAATTGTGTGGGTATGGCGAGTGGGAAAGAACAGGAGTTGGAAGACGCGCCAGCAGCACTTTATAGGTCTGCTGTATGGGACCACTTTGCATTTAGAGTGACCTACGATGACGGCGGAAAGAAAGCTGTGGATAAAAGTGCAACAGTGTGCAAGCATTGTGCAACACGTGTTGTTTATGCTAACAGCAACACGACCAACATGTCATGCTAACCCCGAAATCCCTCATACTCCGTCAGCGCTCCGCTCCAGACCGGCTGCTCAAAGCAAAGCCTACAGCCCCCATTGTGGCATCGTCTGCTCCCCCTGATCTGTCTGATCCAGGGTTTGCGCGAATCACGTAAAATAATTACAATCCATTATTTTGGGGGGGATTTTTTTCATTAATTTCATAATTTTTTATGGAATTTCGGTGTAACAATCAACATGTATCGAATCGAACCGAAAACCGTGACCAGAAACCGTGAATCGAACCGAACCGTGGATTTTGTGAACCGTTCCACCCCTAATATATATATATATATATATATATATATATATATATATATATATATATATATATATATATATGTATATATATATGTGGCAAAATCCTTGGTCATCTTTCCCATTGACAGGGAGAAATGGTGCAAGAACCGTCTTTTTCCAGGACCTAGTTTAGCTCCAAGGCTAGGCTAACTGCATGCAGCGAGGCTAAGGCTTTATTCTACTTTCCCTGCTTCCATTTTCTATCCAGTTTATTTCTATAGCTCCAATTCACATCATGTCATCTCAGGTCACTTTCCAGTTCACCAGATCATCCAGTCAGATTGATTCAAAGTTTTCTACCTAAGGAAAACCAGCTGATTGCATCGACTCATTGACTGTTCAGCAATCCCTCACACTAAGCATGCTTGTAGCGACAGTGGAGAGGAAAAACTCCCTTTGAACAGGAAGAAACCTCCAGCAGAACCAGGCTCAGTGTGAGCGGCCATCTGCTGAGGCCCACTGGGGTTCAAGGAGACAGAAGCAGACATAGAAAAGGAAGCATAGATACAAAAGGCAACCAGCTCCACAGGCGGCCCCGTCCAGGAAACACACAGCCAGGCAGACGAGCTCCGAGCCAGCTCCCATGTCAGAGGATGAAGAGAGCACATCCAGTTAGTCACAGTCAGAGAAACAGGACTACACTGGAAAACAGGCCAAGCTCCAACATCTAGAAACAAAGGTGTTGATGGCAGCAGCACAGCTGATATTTCTCTCCAGGATGGAGTCACAGCCAAACAGGAACAGACCAGATGAAGCTACCAATATTTCCTGACGTAATTCCAACCGTCAAGATCCGATCCAGCATGGATAAAGACAGCTAGCGCTGATTTAAAGCACTTTACACTGCAAAAAATGGAAGTCTAAATAAGTCATTTTTTCTTAATTTGAGGAGGAAAGCGGGACACTTTGCCAATGGAATAAGACAATTTACATTGAAAATAAGAAATAACACTTGCATTGTCTTATTTCAAGTGCATATTATTGAATTATCTTATTTTAAGAGTTAAAATACGCATTTCATTGGCAAATCATCTTATTAACCTTCATAAATTAAGGGTAAGTACACTTAATTTAAGAAATGTTTTACTTATTTCTAGATCGTTTTTGCAGTGTATAGAAAAGGCAAAGAAGAATGAACAACCTGGGATTCACATGGAAAATAATAGAACATAGTCTACTTTTTCTAGATCTGCATAGTTGCTCTAAAATAAACACATTCTCAGAAAATAAATGGTTTTTATTTATTAAAAAAATCCCAAGCTGAATAATGGTTTGTCTATTAATAAACTGGTTTATTATTTTTTCAGGTTTGTGACACAATATCGGAGCAGATTTACCTTCACAGCCTCAGAAGGGAAAGACTTATTTACAGAAAATAAACCTGTACATGAAATGAAATGTTTTTTTGTTTGCATTCATATAAATATACTGCTGTGATAACTTAGTTTACGTTTGATTTGTTTTTGGTATATGTCTATTTTGAATTTATAGAAAACTCCACCAGCCGCCACTGCTTCCAATCTAAAGTTAAACGCTCCTTTGTGTTGATCATGACATAATTTGAGGTCTGTTGCTGTGATCTGTCAGAATGAAAGTAATCGATGTGTATAAATACTCCAGCTAGACGCTGTATCCCATGATGACCTCGCTTAACCTCAAAGATCAAACACTTAGAGTAATTTCTGCTGCTATGACACATCCTGGACCAGGATTTGTTAAATCCTCTTTCCCAGTTGTTAAACTACACCCACTACAGTCCGTAATCCTTCAAATTCACTGATCTATTTTTCAAACTTCTGACACTTTAAGGGCTGTTTGACTGTTATTTCTATTTCCTAAAAGCATCCTCTTACAATGAAAAGAATCATATTAATGCCATTCTTCTTAGCTGCATTCTTAAGCACCATTAAATATCACTAAATGTCTTTTAGAGACACTAAAAAGGTACTGGGGGTTGGATATTTCCCGAATCGACTCTAAATCCCGTCCATGAAGGATGAACACCCTGCAGCCTGTCTGCCAGAGCAGCTATCTGCTCGCAGCGACACACAATCATGCATTTCTGCATCCCATTAGAGACTAAAATGAGTAATCTGATGTGAAACAGCTGCTTTCCTCATGTGATACAAGCTTTTAAACAACAGTGTGTTCCTGACGACAGCTGGCTCTGCCTGATAGAGGGTTTTACTCCACAGGCTCACCTCTTTACTGTGAAGTGGATGCGGTGGCTGTGCTCCAGGATCTTCATCAGGGCCTTAGTGTCATACTCTGATGGCTTCTTCAGGGTGATTCCCTCAGGGAAACCGTGGGCCACAACACACCCGGGGTCCTTCTGGATCCACTCGTAAGGCACAGGGACCAGGCTGCTTTTACCCAAAGCCTCACCTGTGGAGCAGGAGACGGCGTGAGCTTCTGGGTCAAAGTCTGAGATTAAAATCCTGCTCTGAAAGCAAAGAAAAGTCTTACTATAGAGCACTGTGAAGACTTCCTCCACCATCTTCCTCAGAACAAAGATGTTGGACTGCGGGTCTGATGGCGCTCGTTGCTTCCCATGCTCTCCGTCTTTACTCAGTTTGCTAGGATCCCCCTCCTGGTCTTTGGTAAGGGCGCCGACTGCAGTCAGACTCTGTAGACACGGCGTTCCTGAGGCCAAGGAAAAGTCATTTATCTAAGGCGCACAAAAACACCTCTAACAATAAATCTTCATATAATCAATAAATCTTAAATCTAAGAACTGGATGTGAGCATTTTATTAACTGCTGATTTTCGTACATCCTGATTAGGACTGAACGATTTCACCAAGAATTTTAATGCCATCAATAAGCACCCATGACTCTCATATATATATATCAGGGCTCGATGTTAACCATCGCCCGATCGCCCGGGTCAAGTAGTTTTTATTGTTGGGAGAGTACAAATTTCATTGCATTTGTCACTCAAAATTACTTTAAAATCACCGACATTCAATGAAACCGATCCAGAAGCGTTGCCGGTGCCATTTTTGTTGTTTTGTAGACATTCTCGCGTGATTTGAAAAAGCTGCGTGATTTTCCGCCAGATGGCATGATTTTTGTCCGGGAATTGGTGTGAATCATATATATATATAGATATCTATCTATATATCTGATATATATATATCAAAATCCTGATATATATATAGATATCTATATATATATATATATATATATACATATAGGGATGCGTGATATTGGGATTTTGGCCGATATCTGATATTACAAATTCTTGTGAGATTTTGTTAGTAAAATAGATCGATACCGCGTCAATATATCAACATATAAAAATATGGCAACATTTGGTGAATTTTCGGGGGATTTCGTAGCATAACGATGACATATAGCAATATTTCATTAGTAAAAGAGATTGATATGGTGTTTTTAAATGGCAATATATCAGCATATGAAGATATTGGGATATTTTAATGGATCAATATTTTTTCCCTCGTCTTTAGAAGTTTTTAAGTCTGTAAAAAAGAAGTTTTTGAGGAAGAAGAAGAAGAAGTATTTTTATTTATTTTTTTAGACTCTAGAAACTCAGAAGCTGATCAAATATCGGGTTAAATATCGGTGGGGTGGCCGATGTCCGATATTCAGTTTTAAGGCCGATACCGATAGGGGGCCGATTATATCGTGCATCCCTACATACATATATATGTATGTATGAGTGTATTTGTGTGTATTTTGGGACAATAAAGGGATTTTTCTATTGTTGATTAGGATTTTATTCTATTCTGAATTAGGATTCATTTTCTTGACCAACAAACTGTAAACATCCGACACCCAAATATTTGAAAGCTGTTTCATTTTTAGCTCTTATATGTGGTGCTTTGTTGATTCTCTTTGGTTAATAAATCTTTAGTTAGTAGAATTTTATATATAAAAAAAAGTTTATCTGGATTTTCTTAGAGGTTAGTTCAATAAATTAATACATCTGAATGCAGACAAATATCCAGAAATCCTGATTCTTTTTTTAAAGGTGGAGCTGAGATTATCAAATGAAAAGGTCAAAAGTTCATTCTTTCGTATTTGTTAAGGTTTTAGACTAATCAGTTAATGAACAAAAGTATTTTTTATCATTAATGCTGCATTAATAATCCAGATAGAGGGTTAAAATAAACCCACAAATGCAGCTTCTAATTGGTTTGTCTAGATGGGATAAAAAGAGAATTTTTATAGGATTCATCAAGTCTTCTTAAAGTGATGCATAACAATAAACTGTTTTTTGTTGTTTTTTTTGCATAAAGTATTTATTGCAGAAACTTGGTGCCGTTTTAAGGAGATAAAAATCTGATTCCTTTAGTCTTTTTTTTATTTGATCATATTAAAGTAATCTAACCCTGAGCTAAACTGCAAACAGCTGCGGTTAGCAAAGCCTTTGGCTGAATCCACATTCCTGGAACCACGAAAAACATCAAATCCCACAGAAACTGTGCAACAACCACACAGCTGTGGAGAAGAGAACAAGTCTATTAAAGTCAGCAGAAAAAAAAACGATGCTCAGACGGAAACTCACGGCAAAACTTGTAGAAGTCCGTTTGGATTTCCCTCCTGGAGTTGAGGAACACTCTGCCCTTTTCGGTTCCCACTGCGATCACGCTGTCCTCGTGCACGGTGACGCACGCCACCTCCGCATTGAGTTTAGACATGGCCATGCACTGCAGCGCAAGGAGAGGCAGTTTTCAGTTACACTTCATTTCCTCCATTTTCACCTCCAATCAGCCAGATTTCATAGCATTAGAAAGCCTGCCACCTATTACCTTAATGTTACTAGATAGCAGAAATCTGGTTTATTTGGAGGCAGAAAACAAAGGAAGCGGGGCAGACTGGAGACTTTTGAACAGATAAAACAGGATAAAACCTGCTCTGATGTCTGATGTCTGTGTGACAGGGCGAAGCAGAGAGCGGCTGACGTACCACTGAGTCGAGGGCAGACACCAGGCTGGTGAGGATCTCCTGTCTGGCAGACACCAGCTGGACCTGTGGCTCGCTGCGGGAGCTGCTCCTCAGGCCATCACACGCCAACTTCCTCATCTGAGCCATACCTTTATAAAAGACCAAGAGTGGAGATGGTAAAGGAAAGCAGACACTGGCCGTTACTCAGTTCACAAGAACACGAGTACGGACTCGTGTCCTTGAGGAGTCTGTTCTTGAGAAGAACCCAGGAAAGTCTGGACTCTGGGAGAACGGGAGCATGGAGCATAGATCTGGGTCAATTAGAACAGAAGCGTACTGATGACATCACCACATCCAAAGCTCGTCTGGGGCTGCATTTCACCTCCTGTTATTAATAGTCTCTTGATAATAATAAATTCTGACTTTTTTCATTTATTGGGGCAATAAGAATGAAAACAGTCAGATAAACACAAATCAAATGAACATTTTGCCAAATAAAACAATCAAATCACCATCAGAGCCAGCGGTCCTTCATACACGGCTATGCAGAGAGAGGGCTGCTGCAGACGGCCTAACGTTAGCCCTGGCTGCTGCAGACGGGCTAACGTTAGCCCTGGCCGCTGCAGACGGCCTAATGTTAGCCCTGGCCGCTGCAGACGGGCTAACGTTAGCCCTGGCTGCTGCAGACGGGCTAAAGTTATCCCTGGCTGCTGTAGACGTGCTAACGTTAGCCCTGGCTGCTGCAGACCGCCTAACGTTAGCCCTGGCCGCTGCAGACGGGCTAACGTTAGCCCTGGCTGCTGCAGACGGGCTAAAGTTTTCCCTGGCTGCTGTAGACGTGCTAACGTTAGCCCTGGCCCCTGCAGACGGGCTAACGTTAGCCCTGGCCGCTGCAGACGGGCTAACGTTAGCCCTGGCTGCTGCAGACGGCCTAACGTTAGCCCTGGCTGCTGCACACGGGCTAACGTTAGCCCTGGCTGCTGCAGACGGCCTAACGTTAGCCCTGGCTGCTGCACACGGGCTAACGTTAGCCCTGGCTGCTGCAGACGGCCTAACGTTAGCCCTGGCTGCTGCAGACGTGCTAAAGTTAACCCTGGCTGCTGCAGACGGCCTAACATTAGCCCTGGCTGCTGCACACGGGCTAACGTTAGCCCTGGCTGCTGTAGACGTGCTAACGTTAGCCCTGGCTGCTGCAGACGTGCTAAAGTTAACCCTGGCTGCTGCAGACGGGCTAACGTTAGCCCTGTCTGCTGCAGATGTGGTAACGTTAGCCCTGTCTGCTGCAGATGTGCTAACGTTAGCCCTGGCTGCTGCAGACGGGCTAATGTTAGCCCTGGCAGTTGCAGACGGGCTAACGTTAGCCCTGGCAGTTGCGGACGGGCTAACGTTAGCCCTGGCTGCCGTTACCCTCTGAGGTCCTTTGGTTTCCACGGTCCTCTCAAATTTGGAAATTATTTGAAAAATTACGCATTAAATCAGTAAATGTTCCATATAGTGACGCTTAAAGTATAATATTCTCGCCTCTAATGATCTTAAAACGTACTTTATTGAACAACGGCAACAGAAAAGAGAACTTTTAACTTAATACTCTGAGCTCTGTGAGCGCTGACCTGGAAGCTGCTGCTGCCGCAGTGCATGCTGGGACAGCTGTCAGTCTGGAGAATGGATAAGCCTGCTCTGATGCATGCTGGGTAAAGAGGGAGGGGCTAGAACAACATCAGGGGGCTTTGTCCGTTCTCGGTATGCTGTTCTTGTGAATTGGAACAGTGCTAGGGCTGAGGCTGATGACGTTTCACGAACACACCAGAAAGCACAAGTACACATAAAGGGCCACTGTCACGGCTGCGTTCATGATTAGAGATAGATGGATGTAAAGATGCAGCCTTAAGGGGGATCAGAAACACGTTTTTCAAAGCTACATGTTCGCATGAACTTTTTCTTCCAGACAAACTATTGTTAGAAAGCCTTAAGGCCCGGCCTGCTGCCTCCTTTACTTCATACGCCGGAACGCAGCGCCGCCGCCACCGCCGCCGCCGTCTCCTTTCTAATGCCTGTAAACCCTGTTAGGTCTAACTTCTCACATTTCATCTTTACGACTTCACCGCATTGCTCTCGTCTAAGCCCACCCTCTAGGGAGCATGATGGCAAAAGTAAAAGAATAAAAAAAGATCACGGTAATCCATCCATCCATCTATCTGACAGACGCTTGTATCCCTGGAGTCGTATTTCTGGAATATATCTAAAAGGCAAATCCATCAAAAAGCTGCCATTGTCAGTTAAAGATGATAAGAGCGCTCAGAGGATGTCATATGATACCCTTTGCACTGGATTCTCTCTCCTTGACAGATGGTGCAGGAAGAAATATTGACTTAGGATGGACAAGACGACTCTTTCAAGTTTCTGTTTGAAGTTCAGCCGCGGTTAAGACGAGGCAGGAACATCACTTCATTAAAAACATTCAAGCTGAACCATGCAAATAAAAGGGAAGGGGCAAACAGTCATGAAGCATTAAAAAAAACTGCTGGGCGCTGAAACCCGTCTCCCTGGAAACTAATCTCGGGGCATTTGAACAATGCAGCTCTGGCCTTTAATCTCTCCAGACACTGGGAACCATTATACTAGCCTCTGGCAAACCCCAACCTCTGACTCAATGGAGGCGAGGAGAGGAGGGTAGGCGTGGTGGGATTCGGCTGCACACCAGTCTGAGCGTGCCAAGTCCATCTAAATCTGCCTTCCCTCAGGCCACAGCAAACATTAGACCCCCTCCCTCCCACCAAAATTATAATGGCCTCAAAATAGATGGCCTGCTTTCTTTCTTTCATATTTAGAGAGGCAGAGGAAGCATCTAGGAGGAGAGCGGTGGAGATAGCCAGGCAGCAGCAGCTGGAACGCTTCAGGATGGGAGGACGATCGTGTTTTATTGGATCCAACCGAAGGTTTCTCACTGTCTTTGATCTCAGCAGCTCTGAAGGTGGCGGCCATGCAAATATCATTCACTAGCATTTATCTATAGAAGAAACATGGCTATCTGAGGAAAACCAAAAAAAGCAAGCAATCTATGTTCAGAAAGCCAAAAACAACCTTAAACAGAGACGGTGGGCTCAGGTTTCAGCTTTCAAAAACCTACAGGTGTGCAACCTAGGTTTTGTTGGGCTACTGTGTAAAACCTCAAACTAAACACTATTCCAGACATTTTAAATTGAAAACACTTCCTGGATGAACAGTGAAATGTCTTCTTCGTGCTAAAGTTAGCCGTCTGCAGTTGCCAGGGCTAACTTTAGCCCGTCTGCAGCGGCCAGGGCTAACGTTAACCCGTCTGCAGGGGCCAGGGCTAACGTTAGCCCGTCTGCAGCGGCCAGGGGTAAAGTTAGCCCGTCCGCAGCAGCCAGGGCTAAAGTTAGCCCATCTGCAGCGGCCAGGGCTAACGTTAGCCCATCTGCAGCGGCCAGGGCTAACGTTAGCCCGTCTGCAGCGGCCAGGGCTAAAGTTAGCCCGTCTGCAGCAGCCAGGGCTAAAGTTAGCCCATCTGCAGCGGCCAGGGCTAACGTTAGTCCATCTGCAGCGGCCAGGGCTAACGTTAGTCCATCTGCAGCAGACAGGGCTAAAGTTAGCCCATCTGCAGCGGCCAGGGCTAACGTTAACCCATTTGCAGCGGCCAGGGCTAACGTTAGCCCGTCTGCAGCGGCCAGGGCTAAAGTTAGCCCGTCTGCAGCAGCCAGGGCTAAAGTTAGCCCATCTGCAGCGGCCAGGGCTAACGTTAGCCCATCTGCAGCGGCCAGGGCTAACGTTAGCCCGTCTGCAGCGGCCAGGGCTAAAGTTAGCCCGTCTGCAGCAGCCAGGGCTAAAGTTAGCCCATCTGCAGCGGCCAGGGCTAACGTTAGCCCATCTGCAGCGGCCAGGGCTAACGTTAGCCCATCTGCAGCGGCCAGGGCTAACGTTAGCCTGTCTGCAGCGGCCAGGGCTAACGTTAGCCCGTCTGCAGCAGCCAGGGCTAAAGTTAGCCCATCTGCAGCGGCCAGGGCTAACGTTAGCCCATCTGCAGCGGCCAGGGCTAACGTTAGCCCGTCTGCAGCGGCCAGGGCTAAAGTTAGCCCGTCTGCAGCAGCCAGGGCTAAAGTTAGCCCGTCTGCAGCAGCCAGGGCTAAAGTTAGCCCATCTGCAGCAGCCAGGGCTAACGTTAGCCCATCTGCAGCGGCCAGGGCTAACGTTAGCCCGTCTGCAGCTGCCAGGGCTAACGTTAGTCCATCTGCAGCGGCCAGGGCTAACGTTAGCCCGTCTGCAGCTGCCAGGGCTAACGTTAGCCCCTTCTTCTTCTTCTTCCTCTCAGATGAAAACCCAGAAGCATGGTGGGGGGGAAGTGATTGAAATGGAGTTCTTCCTGTAAAACTGACAGACCGTTGTAAATGAGCAGACACGTCTCCCATCTGCTCATTTACATGCTGTTTTTCAGGTGAGAATATTCTTAAAATTTATGTTAACAAAGTACGTTTTCATTATTATCTATTTGGTACTGGTAAATGTGTGAAAGATAGTGGAGTTTTGTTGTGTTTCAGAGCCAGCAGCGGCTACAGGAAGTAGCCAACATGTCGTGTTGCGAGTTAGTTAGCGCACTGTAGCAGTGGATAACACTGGGTTACATAGGTGCAACAACTGAATTACTAACAGTCACCGCTTGTAAAGGAAGTTGGGATATATATATATATATATATATATATATATATATATATATATATATATATATATATATATATATATATATATATATATATATATATATATTAGTGCTGTCAAAATTATCGCGTTATTAATGCGTTAACGCGAGGCCATTTTAACGGCGATAATTTTTTTAACGTGAGATTAACGCTATGTGGTTTTATGGTACAATTTTTCCAAGTACATCCCGCTGCAGCCTGCGGGAAGGCGGGGCTATTTTCCCCCAGTCTATGCATTTCTCATAGGCTTCTAGAGCGGAGCTCCTCAAGGGAAAAAGACGCTCATACACTGGGTGACGCTAGTGCCTTTTCTTTAAGCCCCACCACCAACAAACAAGTTGAGTGTCTGGTAACTAGTAGCAACCTGAAATACGCTGAGAAAACTGATTACTGAGGTGAAATGGAATCTCGTAGCAGCCCTCTTGCCGTCTGTGTAC